CGCCCCCAGCCAACGCCACTGCACCGACATTACTAAACAAAGCATGGCTTTTTCTTACGCTGACCCAGCCCTTACACCATAAAATACCGGATGGACCCATCATCAGCTGAAGTCGTTTTACTTTTGGAATGCTACACGTTACAGGGGTCATTATTTGGACTCTTTTATTTGTTTAATTGTTTTCTCCAACTTCTGAGATGGAGGCATGAGAAAGAGATTGCATTGCCTTCATTGGGCTAGTGGTTACTGGGCGACCGAAGGGACTTTTGTGACTTTTACTCCTCCTGTTTGAAGTGACGGGGTGACGAAATGCAAGTGGGCTGGTGTCGGCACCCTAGATTACCCTTGGTGAGCGTAGTGGTTTACCAAAGGGAGCGCACAGGCCCAAGGGCGTGGAGACACAGCTCGAGTTTCTCTTCATTATCGCATAAATCTTTCGCCTTTTACTAAAGATTTCCGTGGAGGGGAACTTTTTGCGAGTGACCTGTATTTTTGGAGGCTCTGATCACAGCAGAGCTACACAGGAATGTCAAGAACAGAGTGAATTTGGCCATCCGCCAACACACGGTTGGAGGATGCGCAACTGGTCACCTTCTGTATTTGCAGCCTTTGCGGTTCCTGCGTCACCGCGTCGTATTTATTTAGCCAGCACGGAAAGACAGCGCTTTTTTGGACATGATGGGATCCAAACCCTGGACTTGCTCTCTTTAGTGCCGGGCCCAAACAAAGATTGCATCAGCTCCTCTAGCCCTATCAGCGACTCATGTGCTTTGAGCGCTCTTACTGACCGCACAAGCCAGCGTCATCCATCCGAGTTGGTGGTATAGTGGTGAGCATAGCTGCCTTCCAAGCAGTTTACCGGGGTTCGATTCCTGGCCAACGCATTTCCTTTGGTTTGGGCTGAAGTCAAAGCAGAACTCCTTCTATAACCTCTTGTTGCGCCAATACCTTTTGGATGTGTCGTTCGGCAGCAGAAAAATAGTAGCTATCCCCATCGGGGAATCGAACCCCAGTCTCCCAAATGACAGGCGGAGATACCGTCCACTATATTAACGAGGAGTTGTGCATGCATGAGTTCGCCCCCAGCCAATGCCACTGCACCGACAACACTAAACAAAGCGTGGCTTTTTCTTACGCTGACCCAGCCCTTACACCATAAAATACCGAATGGACCCATCATCAGCTGAAGTCATTTCATTTTTGGAATGCTACATGTTACAGGGGTCATTATTTTGACTCTTTTATTTGTTTAATTGTATTCTCCAACTTCTCAGATGGAGGCATGAGAAAGCGATTGCATTGCCTTCATTGGGCTTGTGGTTACTGGGCGACCGAAGGGACTTTTGTGACTTTTACTCCTCCCATTTGGAGTGAGGGGGTGACGAAATGCAAGTGGGCAGGTGTCGGCACCCTAGATTACCCTTGGCGAGCGTAGGGGTTTACCACAGGGAGCGGGATTGCTACAAGCCGGATGCGCAACTGGTCAACTTCTGTATTTGAAGCCTTTGCGGTTCCTGCGTCACCGCGTCGTATTTATTTAGCAAGCACGGAAAGACAGCGCTTTCTTGTATGTGATGGGATCCAAACCCTGGACTTGCTGTCTTTAGTGCTGTGCCCAAACAAAGATCGCATCAGCTACTCTAGCGCTATCAGTGACTCATGTGCTTTGAGCGTTCTTTCTGACTGCGCAAGCAAGCATCAATTCCTGCGTTGGTGGTATAGGGGTGAGCATAGCTGCCTTCCAAGCACTTGACCCGGGTTCGATTCCCGGCCAACGCATTTCCTTTGGTTTGGACTGAAGTCAAAGCAGAACTCCTTCTGTAACCTCTGGCTGCACCAAAACCTTTTGGATGTGTCGTTCGGCAGCAGTAAAACACTAGCTCTCCCCATCGGGGAATCGAACCCCGGTCTTTCGCGTGACAGGCAGAGATACCGTTCACTATATACTGATGATACTCAGCTCTATATTTCTTCGCAGCCTGGCGAAACATACCAATTTGAAAAACTTGCTGAATGCATAGTCAATATAAAAAACTGGATGATGAGTAATTTCTTACTGCTAAATTCTGAAAAAACAGAGGTGTTAATTATAGGACCTAAAAACTCTGCATATAATAACCTAGAACACTCTCTAAGACTTGATGGCTGCTCTGCCAATTCTTCGTCATCAGTTAGGAACCTAGGTGTGCTATTTGATAGCAATCTTTCCTTAGAAAGCCATGTTTCTATCATTTGTAAAACTGCATTTTTCCATCTCAAAAATATATCTAAATTACGACCTATTCTCTCAATGTCAAATGCAGAAATGTTAATCCATGCGTTTATGACCTCAAGGTTAGATTATTGTAATGCTTTATTGGGTGGTTGTTCTGCACGCTTAATAAACAAACTCCAGCTGGTCCAAAATGCAGCAGCTAGAGTTCTTACTAGAACCAGGAAG